CCACACAGAACTGGAAGTTACAAACTATAACTGGTTATAGCCATAAAAGCGACAGTGGTTTCCTTCTAGGCTAGACAGTGTACAATATGAAGGGGGTAAAGATAAATCTTTATATTGCAAATGTACAATCCCCCATCCTTAGGCTCTCCTGGAGGGTCTGTATGAATGCAGACTACCTTGCCCCCAGAAAACTGAAGTAGAGCTGTGGTTCTGGGGAGACACATTGAGAACCACTAAGTACATAGCAAATTTATTTAAATGATGCTAAATAATGTCTAAGAGGAAAACTGTGGTATTTATTTCCTGTCTAGGACCAAGAAGTGCCTATTTATTCTAAAACCAATCTTCAGTGTTTGGGGTCTCTAATTCTGGACTACAGTGATATTTATTTGAGGCAGTAACACTAATAGTTTTCCTGGCTTCTGTTCTTTGGTTCTATTGATTTTCTCATTGAGAAATATTTTAGAACATATAGATTTGTAGTGGCTTAAAGGAGCTTTTCTGTAAGGGCTTTTACAAATATCACTGATACTAGAAGCAAATGTTGAAGCCAAATTTATTTAAAATTGGGGGAGATTTTTATAGAAGGAAAAAAATTCAATAGAACTTTTGTTTCCAGAGGTACATACAAGTTCTCAGTATCCACAATTTCCTATGTATGGTAACTCTTAGGTACTTTTATCAGAGTAAAAGAAGTCTTAAACCCATGGTGTCCTGTTACAAGTATGTGTGAAAAGTATGGTATAGTACGCGTGAAAAGCTTGCTTAATCAGGCTCATTATCAACTGGAACAGGAATTCTGAAATTTGATTTTCAGGCCAGTCAGAGAGAGAAGAAAGGCCTTTTGCCCATGCTGTTCAGGGCATTCCCTAGCTCAGCTGGCAGAGAGGCTTCATCTTGAATTCTAATGCCCTGCATTCTGATCACAGTATGGGATTCTGATTCCTATCTCTCCCTTCTCCATAGAAACAGTTGGTAAAACTATGTGAATGAAATTGCTTCTCCTGTAGGATATTTCAGAAGCAACACTCAGTGTCTCCTATGGGAGACTGTAACCTTTGCATGGGTCTATAAAGATAAGAGTCAATTCAAAGATAACAGAGGGTAAAATAACATGTTTAGCTTCTAAAATTTATAATCAAGATTTGATTAAAAAAAAAACCGAGGGGAGCGATTAATACAGAAATGCTGACAGGTAAAAAAAAAAACCGAGGGGAGCGATTAATACAGAAATGCTGACAGGTAATATTAAAACATTAAAAATGTTGAATAGGTAATGCTCTCCCTCTGTCATGCTTCACTATTTTAATCACTTCATTCTCTCAAGAATACATAATTTCAATAAGTCCTTCACGCTAACCTTGTAAGATAGGATTAGCCCCATTTCACAACTGAAAAAACTTAAGGTTAAATTATTAGACCAAAGTTGTAATTAATGTAAAACTCCAACCCAGCTCCAACCCAAAAGCCAGTAGTATTCTTTCTAGATTGGTTTGGCTATCCATTTGTAATTTTTGTTTCATTATAAATTCAGGTAGAATATGTTCATTTATGTATGGAAATCTATACTTTATAAATGTATTTAGGTGGGAAAATATTTATCTGAGTGTTCATGCCTTTTCTATTAATGTATTACTCATCATCTTACTCATTTTATCTACCACTGAAATAGTTCACCCTCTAATAACCAGCCTCATGGCTATTGTCCTCTATTACAGAAATGACCTGTTCCTAAGAATATGGTATATTGAGTAACTAGTGCTTATTTCTTTAAGTCTTTTAGTGTTTTCCCCATAAGTTATCAGTAAAAAAAAAAAAAGTAAATATGTAGGCACATGTCCATAATTTCTTCATAAGAAGAAAAAAATGCCTCCTGGAGATCGCAGAAATCCTGCTCATTGCTGAGATAGGTAGCGGTAGGAATTCCATCCTTCTCCTGCACAGTAACATCAGCCCAAAGTTGGGCACATAACATGACCCAGTCATGACACTTTGTGAGAGCTTTAGGAAAGATTTACTCTTTTTGAGATACTTGCCAGATTAAGAGATGATGCAGGTTTGAGGTTGCCTACTGCAATAAGGTATCTAAATGCAAAATGTATGTGGAAATGTGACCTGGCAAAGCTAAAAAGCAGATGGAGTAAGCACTGTTAATTGAATTTTCAGATCAAATCACACTTTGAGATTTCCAGAATCAAAAAATTTCCTATTTTGCTTAAGTTAATTTGATCTGTTTCTGTGACATTATATTTGTACTTCTTAAATGGAGATTACTGAACACAATCTTCTAGCTGTGTCTATTACTTACGTATTGTAACTTTAAAATGGAAGCAGTATCTACTGAGGAAAAGCTCTGAGGATTTAATGAGCTGAAGCACATAAAAACACCAACTGCCATGTCTGGCATTCAACAAATATCACTTCCCTCCCCCTTTTCACCATAACAAAATAACAGAACCCACAAAAATTTGAACGGTTACAGTTTTTTGTGTTTTTCCCGTATTGATATCTAAAGTCCTGTGCTTTTGAGTTTTGCTATTTAAGATTTGCGAGAATGTTAACTGTCAACTCTCCTTATGTCACTAAGCCAGTCTTCTGAAAAACTTCCCAAAGTTTAGCTTTTCTATTCTTCAGTGGATTAGAAAACAAGTTTACTAATCTCAGCTAACAGTTAATGCTAATAAAGGTCCAACTGCAGACCTTAGAGGCATAGTATACAGATATCCAGTGATCACTAATTTGAAAGTTTAGCCTTTTATTTTCTACTTGTGCCTAGTGTCAATGCATTATATACTGTGTTTTCTTTTTCGTTTCTTATAATTAGCTGTGCATTTAAGATACCCCTCATAACTACATTACAAATTATCTAAAAACCGCTAAGGAACCCACAGGCAGTGAGCAGTGGGAGAGCAGGACGGGTGCTGCCTGCAGTCTGGCTGTCGAGGTTCCTAGTCCACTCTGAGGGGAGGGCCTGGGTCTTGGAGGTCTGGTGTCTGACCACTGAAGAGTGCCCAGGAGCATGCAAATAATTAATCCATGCTCCTTACTAAAAGGAGAATGCTTTCACATTATAAAAGGGGACTTTAACATAAAGAGGCATGTACTATATATTGAATTTTCAGATCAAATCACACTTTCTTGAGATTTCCAGAATCAAAAAATTTGATATTTAAAAGTAGATACTTTCTTGACAATTTATGGCACCTCTCTAATCCAAAAAAACCCCCACATTGTCACCCTAATACAAATTTTCCTCCACTTGTCATCAGGTAAATTTGCATGCTCCCCTCAACTCAGACCCACCCAGGAATACCAAACCTTAATATGTATAGCTATAGAAGGTCAGAAAAATAGAAGTCAGCCATGAAATAAATTCATGTTTATTTTATAATTCAATTTAGTCATTCCTTCCTCAATCTCTTTAACATGAGCAATATGTGCCATTATGATAGCTATTAACGGTGAAAGGATTAAACTATATTATCTGATAAGACTAACATACTGTCTAACCTGATTAGAGCAAATTCATCTATTTCAACTGAGAATACTGGACCAAAAAAGGTGAATAATGAAATAAAAATTAACCCTGCTGGTCCTGTTTCCACTATACATTTCTTAAGTGATATCATTTGTTAAGTGATTTTACTATTTTCATTAGTAAAAGTTCTAAGTACAAATAACCTGACATTTAGAAGAAAATTATTCACTCCCTAAGGTTTGTTCATAACTTGTTCTGTATGTTTACTCTCCAATTTCAGTGCTTCGCACCATAATGTTTCTAAGACTGCAACTTAATTTCAGGTTTAATTATTGTCTTATTTCTAGAGATTAGAAAACATCAGGTATGGAAAAAAAAAAGACTGACTGGAAAATAAAACTTGCTTAAAAGCTTTTTTAAAAGACTTCAACACAAAACAACAGAAAAACATAGGAACAAAATTAACATTACATAATATTTTATTAAGAACTCATTACAAAATTGCTTTGCATGTATTAGAATAATTTATAATATACTAATGCTTATATTAACAGAAGTAAAAAACTCTCAATATAGTTTAGCACTTTTGATTCTGTTCCTGATAAATGACAGGAACACAATTAGGATGATAGGTGGTGCATTTTTAATTAGCAACCTAACCAAGTAGGTCTCATTCAAATAGTTATGTAATGATACTCAAGTATAAGCATTTATAAAAACTCAAAAACTCTAGTCCCATCATCAGTACGTATGTTTGGCATCACAAAACATACTATGAGCAAGTACATAGTAAATTCTTAGGAGAAAAAACTTACTTAGTAAGTGCCAATGTACATTTTTCTGTTCTCTTGACATACTACTTCCATCACTCTTCAAGTGGGTTCTCTCTGAAGAGGAATCACACCCAACATAACCAACTCCTATGCCACTGAAGTGAGCCGCAAAAGACCAGCCAATACATTTAAATAACAAACCAAGCCATATTCAGTGAGGCAAAAGCCACATCTCTACAACATCTTTAGCCAAGCTTGCTTTAAAATTAGTCCTTATGTCCAATATCACACTAGTTTCTTTGGTTAGGTATTAAAATTTCCAAATTACATTACTCTGGAAACATAATTGAGTTGAAAATCTAAATGGGGAATCAAATTTCCTCTATTCCTAGTATTTGGTATGAAATCTCATACATGGTCACTAAGATACAAGGAGAAGAATTACTGACTAAACTGTATCCAGGACCCTCCCTGTGGAGCAATGGGTTGAAGCACAGCACTAGAAAGTATGAAGCTATCTCAGCCACTACAGCATGAGTTCAATCCCTGGCCAGGGAGGCGACCCATATGGTGTGGCAGGCCTCTCCTGACCCGTACCCGCTGCTCCCCTCAGCAGTGTATTTCAGTAGATCTGCCTGTTCTGCTCCCCACTCTGTCTCTGGTGAATCTCTCACCAATCCCCACTCACCTCTGACCTGCCCCCCAGTTCTGTATGCATAAATAAATAAATATATATTTTTTTAATTATCTAAAGCTCTGGGAGCCATGACCGGGGACTTGCACATGCAAATAGACAAATGTCTTCCTAATTCAACCTAGCATGTTAGTGCAGATATAGGTAAGTGATTTCATGAGATTTGTAATTGGGAAATGAGTAGCATTTAACTCTGGGATACTTCCAGAAGAATATGAAATCCCAACGTTGTCACTGCTTTCACTTGAGAGTAGCAGTCTTGCCATGTAAGGGACCCCGGCCCTCATCTAGAAGACAGGGTTCTAAATAGCACTGGATTGCCACTACCCTGGAGCTGCAATTGGCCAACAGAAGGCACTTAACCCTTAATTTCCATTTTCTATCAGTAGGAAAGCTGTACTCAGCTCAGTAAGGATATGACCAAAAATAAATAGATGTCAACACAGGAAATTACTAAGTTCCAACAGAGGAAGAATTCCCCGAGCACTGTCTTAAGAGGTAAAGACTACTTGTAAATAAAAAGTGAAAAACAAGTTAAGATACATCTGTTAATTCTTGGCCAATTAGCTATGATGTGTGAGGATTCTTTGTACTTGTATTAAAAATCATTCCTTAATAAAGATATTTTAATTAAATTAGAAAATCTAAATGTTTATAATAAATACTGTATTAAAATATTTTAATATTTACAACTGGAAAAAGGTATATTATAGTCTGTCATCTCAGTGCTACTTGTTCAATTTCATCTTCTACAGAATCAACTACTTTTACTGCTGGTTTATCGTTTGCATGTTTTAATCTGTCTATTCGCATTAAAACTTCTTCCTTCGCTCAAAAAAAAATTCATCATCTTCATTATATTCTCTACCCTTGCTGCTTTTACCCCGTGGGAGAAGATTTAGAGGGCCAAAGTCTCCTTTGCTAGTAGCCAGAGAATTTTGGTCGCTGCTTTTAGAGGAAACGGTGCTGCCGCCACTGGCACCAAACAGCTGTTCCATCAGATTAGCCTTTTTCTCTTTTCTTGTAATGAAATCTACACTGTCTTTCCCAAGTTTCTCTGTACTATTTCCTTGGAAATCCAAGAGGTCACTTTTGGGGCTAAATGGATCTAACCTCCCTGACATTTTTGCAAATGAAGGCACATAGCTACCAAATGCAAGCTCATCAGAAGAAGCTGGGCTTCTCATTTCTCCTGAATTCTGACCATCTCTTTTTGTGGTTAAAGGACTGATATCTTGAAAGTGAAGCTCATTAAATAATCTCTTTGAGGTGTCAGAGAACATGTACGTCTGGGGGCTTCTTTTGGGGGAATGCAGTTTTGATTCTAAATCAGGTAGCAATGGCAGAGGAGGGCATTTTAGATTCTGAGAATCCTGGAGTTCTCTGTTGATTTCATTCAGCTTAGCAAGTAGTATTTCTCTCTTCAACCTGTCTTCTTCCTCTTCTTCCAATATATCAATATTTTGAATTTGATATGTATCCATTTGGTATCTTCCAGTTTCCAGAGCTGGCTTTTCTCCTCTCTCAAATAGAGAAGTCTTTTCATTTTGCTTTTTAGCAGGGTCTGTGCTTACCCACTCTGTATGAAATCAAATTTAAAAATGTGTTTTTATATGGGATTTTATAGCAGTTAATTTTAAAAAAGAAAGCTCATCTTTCATAAAACAGTAATGAGATTAGATTCTTAGTATATAAATTTCATCTCCATGCTTATAGCCTTGGATTCAATTAGGAATATACTTAAGGCTCACATTTACAGGAAAAAAAAATCCTTTAAGAGAGGGGTAGGGAAGATTTTCTTTTTCTGTGCCTAATACAGTGCTAGTCACTGAATGGAAGATGGTGGGATGGATGGAGCAAAGACTATGCTTAAAAATGAAGCCTCTGGATATCATAAGCCCAGAAGGACACTTTATCATTTATGTAGTAATAAAATGAAAAAGAAAATTTCAGATAACTCCAACATGAAGAACAGTCTATTAAAAAAAAAAAAAGGTCCATAGTCATTAAAATTTTTTAAAACACTAAGAAGCTATTAAAGGAAACTGAAGAGGTATCAAAACTAAGTGCAATTTATAATCATCTCCTAGAAGGAAGAAATGCCAATTCTGTGCACGTCCACAGAGTAGGATATGCTGTATCAGTAGACAGAACTGTAACATAGAATAATCAAAGTTCAATTTCCTGAAGTTGAAAACTATACTAGAATAGTGTAAAGACAGTGTTTTAGAGAAATGTCCATAGAAGTATTTTTAGGGTATGGGCATGAGATGTATTATTTTAACCCTTTAGTTACTATTGCCACTTCAATTTTTTAAATTTTCATTTAAAAATAATTTCAAAATCACAGTAAATATGTAAGAACTACTTAAAATTTGGTGTTTTAGTAAATGGCATATATTCTCACTGTGTCAGCAACCACTCCATATAGACTTCAGGGAAAAAGGACAAAGAGGTGACGATCTTTATAATAATGATACCTAATTTTTTATCTTAATGTTTGACATGTCAAAGTACCTCCCCTTTGTGCATTAACCAACAGTGATGTAAATACAGTTTCTATTTTAACTGGTTGAAATATACAAACAAAAATACATTTACTACTATAAGCAATAATTTATAGTTTTATGTCCCATTATGGGAAAAGGATTTTTTCAGTAAGTTGTTACTATGTGACTGATAAAATACATTCAAAAGATTAGTTTGGGATCTTTCTTGCCTATACCTTTAAGACATTTTCTCCAGATGAAAATGAATTTATTTCTGAACTTCATTTCCAGTATCTGAAACTGAGTTTGCTTACTAAACTTTCATACTAATGATTGAACACATTAAAGATTTATTTTACATATTAAAACCAAAGGAAAATATAGGAATATATTCAGAACCTCACCATTCATTCATTTTTATGTTTGAGCTAGTCTGTAGACAAGAGACTTTCAAGGCCAAGCCAATAAGAGGATAGTCTTCCACTTATCCCTTCATCAAGCTTTAGTTAATACAATGCCCATATTTCCTGATTCCAAATAACTGAATTAGAGTCCTCATCTCCCTTCATAATGTCATTCAAATGTTGTGACTCCTATGACTCCTATCTTCATCTCTATCAACCTTTTTCTTGCTTTATATAATTCACACTTCAGGTGTAAGGTATTAGGTGATGTTAACCCTTTCTTTCCCAAGAGATGCTGACTCCTTATGTGCTTCAACTTTCTTACCATCCTCCAGCTTTTGAACCTCCTGTTGTACAACATCAAGTCTTTGATCTTTAATGAGTTTTTCTTCTCTTTTCACAACTGGGTTTAGAGTCTTGGCTTCTTTGTGTTCATTTCTCTCCTGAGATTCCAGACCCTGTTATACAGTTTGTAAGAATGCAAGTTTACATATAGGAATAATCTATTTACAGTATGGATTTATCTCTTAGTAAACATGATTACCAATGAAGTTGGAAATTAAAGCAAAGTTTCAATTTAAAGCAGTTAGTCACAAATTACTACATTTGAGAGATGCTTCAAAGATATATAGGATTATTTTTTACTTTGACATATTTGACATATAAGTCCATATGCCACATAAAATTTTAAATGGACAAGTTTTAGAAGTATCTCTGCTTTTATAACAATAAAATTAGTTCAGTTAATCAGAAAAGGCTGTTCATTAACTATGGAGGCTAGTGAAATATTGAACAAATAAGATGCTCACCTGTTTTGGAATTACAGAGGCATTAACAGACACACTGCACCTTTTAAGTACCCAGATGAAATGAAAGTACTAACTTTAATAGGTATCTGTACTCCCATATGCAGAACAGTATTATTTATATAAGCCATGAATTGGAAGCAGTGTCTGAGATATATATTTCATACACACACACACACAAAATAGAATATTATTTAGCTATAAAAAGGAGGAAATCTTGCCTTTTGAGGCAACATGGATGGACTTTGAAGGCATTATGCCAAGTGAAATGAGTCAGAAAAAGGCAAACATTGTGGGGTCTAAAAAATTTTAAACAAAACCAAAGTTAATGTATATAGAAAACAGACTGGTAGTTGTTGGGGAGGTGGAAGGAGGCCATAGAGGAATATGAAACTGATGAAGAGGGTAAAAATATAAACTTTCAACTAAAATAAATGATGGGGATTTTTTTCATGCATACAAATATTGAATCATGTTGTACACCTGAAACAAGTATAAAGTCAATTTTATCTCATTTCAATTTTAAACAAAAATATAAACTTAAGTGTAATTTTTATTAGTAGATTTGTATAGTAGAGAATTGTTCCCTAGTTATCTTTTTTCCACTTCTTCCTTTTAGTCAGAGATCCCTGAGTTTTAGCAGGGCATAAGGATGCTCAACAGGAAACTACCTTTGCACCTAGACAGGCCTGGTGGAATCTGAGTGGAGTAAGAGCAATTTCTGATCACAGTTCTGAAAATGAAGCACCTTGTCTACTTTCTTTAGTACTCTTCTAAGAGGGTGGTGAGACAGTTCCAACTATAAGGAAGATGACTATGTGCTTTAAGATGAGAAAGTGGTAAGACAGAGAATGACTGCTATGGAAAAAGCTGTCCACCTGTCCTGGACTTATATAAGTCATATTTAATGTGTATTTTGCTTGAGTCACATTTTCTGTCTCTTTACAATAGGAAATAAGCTTGTACTATATACATAGCTGCCATTTGCTGAGGTCCTTTAAAATGGCAGGATTGGTCTTAAAAACGTTATTACAACCACACTAAAATGTTTAAATTTTGTTTCTATAAAAGTAATGTTGCTAACTTCAAGGCTGTATGCTATAGAATTCAGTGTGTAGAGCAGTAACCGGTAAGATCATTTTTAAAAATCCTCTTAAAGAATCCCTTTGTTTTTCCACAGTTTATACTTTTCAAAAAGACAAATTAACATGATATAGCCTCAATTACAGTACAAATAAGAAACACACCTGAGAAAAATAACTTGTCTAAATTGTGAAACAAACTGGAGTACACTGAGGAACAAACCATCCATCCTTTCTTTTATATCACAAGGTGGCCTCTGGAAATATTTGAAATATACTAGATTTCATATATATGTATATACATATATTTTATACCTCCTTTTATACCGTTATACATTAAAGGCAAAACCCTCTAGAAAAAAAGACCTCTATGAGAATATATGTTGATGGATTCTTTAGTTGTGGGAGAACTATGGTGACTACACTTGAAGGGAAAGATCATATACAATCCAAAAATTCAGAAAAGAAAAAGGCCTACCACTATTTAATATGGAAGCCCTTTTAAATGCACATCTAACATCCACTGAATTTCACTATAATTTTGAATGGTATAAATTACAGGTTCCACTGCAATTACTATGCTCAGCATTCAGTTAACCTATAGCACTCTCCTATGAAGGAGAGAGAACACAAAAAACTACTATAATTTTCTATTAAACATAAGAGCCAGGAGGATTTTTAGAATTTAAGTACATGAAAAGTAAGAAACATAGAAACTAAGTTTTTCTTTTCTTTTACCTCCAACTTGAAGCTATAAGGCAAACTTTATGAAGCATCTGAAAGATGCAATGTGAATGAAGTGTCAATCTAAAGGAACTTACTAACAGTTACAACACAAGCTTCAATGCTGAAATTTTGAGATGTTTTCTATTGTATTTTTAGGAAAAACTTCGAATCTAAGTTTTGTGCCTAATCATATTGCTAAACTCACCAAAGTAAGATGTTCAGGTTCTTCCCATGTGTTTTCATAACACACACCTGTTTGTGGTATAGGAAATTCTTCCAGTATGAAGTCTTCATTGGTTTGTACTCCTGTTGTACACTGGTCTGTAAAATCACTCTGGCATGCAGCTACCATGAAAATTATAAAAGAATTTTTTTTCTAATCATACTGAACAGTGCTGAGACATGGAATTAACTGGTTATGTTTACTATCTAAACGAGATAATGTGATTTGTTTAACTCCATAATTGCTCACGATTACTGTTTCATTTTAGGATTTACTGGTAATTATGCAATTTGAGGATAATTCTAATTGGCTACTCCCATTAACATTTTATAAAGCTTGTTTTTACTCTTCTGTAGTTATTTTAATATATAAATTCAGAGGAAGTTTACTTTTGTTTAAAAAAAGTACAGCTATGCATAACAACAGCAGAGTATTTGGTATTGTTGTGACATGATATCTGTGACTTGCTATAAAACTCTAGAAAAGAATGCTGAAAAAACAAACAAAATTAGCAAAATATAAGTTAAAGGAAGGCGATAGGTACATCAAGTTTCATTCCATTATCCAGTTTCGGGTATGTTTGCACATTTACATAAAAGTTTCAACTGCAAAATAATTTTTTAAATGATGTGAAACAATTTTAATGATGGGGGAACCTAAACAATGTTAAAAGGAGTTCTCAAAATTAATAAGGAAATTTGAAGAAGTTTCCTTGCTCCTGAATTCAGGATTTATTTTATTGACAATAAGTAATACCACATTACCAGTATTTCAACAGTAATATCTACTCACCATTTTTTGTCGATGTCTTTTCTTTCTTTGGAGAGGACTTTGGCAGACGATTGGAATATATATTTTTTATATCTAGTTCTCTCTCTTTTTCCTGAAAACAATCAATTATTCAGTCTTAGTTCAAAACAAAATCTTCACTTTAACTTGTATTTTTCTAACTATACTGAAAAATACCCACATTAGTCTCTTTCTAATTACCAACTATAAAAAGGAAAATTTCTAAGATACTTAGGTTAAGGTATAAAAGTGATTCTCCCTAAAATGTACTCACAAAAAAAGAAAAGTAGGTAAATAAGGAAAATCCCCCTTCTGCTGTTACCTGATAGCTTAATACTAGTATTAAGCATCAAACACATTAGAATTTATAAATTACACTGTATCAATTTAGAAATGTGAATAGTGACAATGTTTTAAAATACTGGTTTCTCTATGCCCAAGAACATACTCTGGAGCAAGGAAAGCCTCTTCAACAAATGGCATTGGGAAAAACTGGAGCGCCACATGCAAAGAAACTGAACTACAGCTCACACTATACACTAATCAATTCAAAATGGATAAAAAACTTGAATGTAAGATCTGAAACCATAGAACAGAGCTAAAATACTTCACAACATAATGTCTTCAGGAATCTGTCTCCAACAGCAAGGAAAACTGGTACTACATTAAACTAAAAACATTTTGCATAGCCAAACAAACAAAAATAACAAAAAATATTTGCAGGCCATACATCTGACAAAGAGCTCACAGCAAAACTCAATCTCAACAAAAAGAAAACAAATTAACCCAATCAAAAAATGGACAGGTGCTGAGAGAAATCACAGACTGTCCCCAAATAATTACATTAACTTAAAATTAAAAACTAAGACCAAATTACAAAGCTTTAGAAATGCTATCACTATTTTCACAATTGGTGTTAAATGAAAAGTAGACTTTTGGTGGTGATCAAAATGTGGTGTATATATATAGATAGATTGATAGATATCAAATAACAATGCTGTAAGCCAGAAGCCTTACATTTTACACCAATTTTACTTTAAAAAGCCATAAAATATTAAAAAAAAAAGTGGGCAGAAGAGCTAAATAGGCACTTCTCCAAGGAAAACTTTCAGATAACAAACAATGCTTATTATTAGGGAAATGAAAACTCACAATGAGATACCACCTCACACTGGTGAGAGTGGCTCTTATTCAAAAGGCCTGGTCAGGATGTGAAGAAAAGGGAATCTTGAACTGCCCCTGGTTATGCAGACTGGCCCTGCCCAAAGAGGAGGCTGTGTGGTGGGATCTCAAAAGATTATAAATGGATCTGCCACATGAGCCAGTAATTCACTTCTAGGCCTCTACCTGGAAAATTCAAAAATACCAATTTGAAAGGAAACTCCCACTACTGTTTTTATTACAACATTATTTACAACAGCCAAACAACATTATAATAGCCAAACAACATTAAGTGTCCATAAACAGATGAATGGATCAAGATGAGATTTGTATATCCAGTGGAATACTACTCAATAATCAAAGAAGATAAACTCAGGCCATTTGCAGGAATATGGATGAGGCTGGGACGGAAATGCTAAGTCAGAAGAAGAAAGGCAAACATCAATGGTGTCACACATGTAATACAGTGAAACTGACTAAGGTTAGTTAATTTATAAACTAGTTCTGTGGTTTGTAAACTTCAGTATAGAACCTAAGCACCCAGCTGGGAAAGAGAAGGAAGTTCGGGGACAAAAAGGGAAGGAAGCACAGTGGACGGTGGTGGTGGGGGGCGTTTATACTTCCAAAATACTAATAATAATAATGTTAGCTCAACTGAAATGCTTTTTAATTTTACGTTTTTTAATCAATTAAGCCATATGAAGGGAAAAGTTGGATTTTTATCAATTATAAGGGAAAATAATACAATTTAAAATAAAGTGCTTACCTTTAATTTGTGATATAGTTGTTGTAGTTCCTTCTGAAGAACTTTATTTTCATCATGAGCCTCAAGTGCCTTTTTCCTTTCAGCAAATAACTGCCGTTGGAAACTGTTAGTACTTAGCTCAAGGTTTTTTGACAGTTCCTATGATTTGTATATACATAAAAACATTTTTTAAGAAAATTATTCAATATCCAAAGCAATCAAAAAGATAAATGTACGTCATTTGTGACAACATGGATGTAGCTGGAAGGGATTATGTTAAGTAAAACAGAGGGTTAGGAAACAAAATTTGCAAACTGACCATAACCACAGATCTCAAGCATACAATAAAAGGGGTTGGGGGAGAGGGCAGTAGAGAAAGTGAAAGTAGGAACAAGGTCATGATTGTTATGGTGGTGAGGGAGGATACTGTCCAAATATTAACAATGTTTGAAAATAATTTTTTTAAATATGATTTTGTTAATATCAGAAATATTAAAAAAAATTCAACAGTAAAGTATTGCACTCAGCATCAAGCAAGATGTTTGTGGTGGTACTGTACAAGACATGCACATTAGACAGGGTTTAACATGTGAACATAAAATAAACTGGGTAATGAATTTACTAACATCTCAGTAAGGTACCTAGCCCTATAGTTCCCTTTTTTGTTTTCTATAATGATTTGTAAATAAATTCTTAAGCACTTGCTTGAAGTATACATGAAGAGTCATTTAAGGTGAGAGCAAAGTTAACCAAGGATGCGATGAAGAACTGGCTTTTTAAATCAGTTTGGCAAATAAAGAAAGCTAAAATTACAGCACTAGTCAAGGTGCATCGAATAATGTTTCATTTATAGATTAAAAATAACTGTTTCCATAATCTTCAAACACATTCCATGAAGTTTATGAAAAAATTTAAACTATTTTAAAATTACTTGTCAAGACAATTCTTTATTAAAAATAAGCCTTTTATATATAAAAATGTTACTGCAAATGTAATGGTTAAAGTATAAAAAAAATCAGACCTAAGAAAACTCAAAAGCAAATTAATATGCTCAGGACTAAAATTATTAAGAAAATGCAGCTTTAAATGTAATAGTGAGAGACTGAGGATTTGGAAAACAAATACAAGACTATCATAGTGGAAAATGAATTAGTGACACAAAGTAGAAAACTAGAAATGACCTAGGAGGAAGAAAAATGATTTTTAAACAGATGAAATACAAAGGGCACTACCTGAGCCATTAGGAAAGAAAACAACAGTTCATTCAAGGAAATAACTGAAAATTTTTCAAACCTGGGAAAGAATTGAATATACAAATCCATGAGCTAATAGAACATCTAGATAACTAAATGCAAACAACTATGACACATTTACTAGTGAAACTACTGAGAACCCAAAACAAATCAGCTACTAGGGGTGTGTGTGTGTGTTGGGGGAAAACAAGTAATTTATATAGGTATTACATCAGGCTACAATGGACTTCTCAGCGTAAACTCTACAGGTCAGAATAGAGTAGAAAGACATTCAAAGATAAAAACTGCCAGTCAAGAAAATATATTCTGTATGACTCATTCATATATGAGGGAGAGAAAAAAGCTTTCCTAGAGATATTGTTTCAGGTTTCTGTGATTCAAGAAAAATATCTGAAAAACTTAACGAGTAACACAGTAGAATCTGTCACTTTGAAATCAGCAGAAAATCAGGTTAAGGGTAAAAGGCAGGAAAAAGAGGGAAAAGATGATTAATTTGCCTTTAAAGATAACTCATATAAAGTATCTCAGTAATCACAATGTAAATAACTACTGAAAGATTATTCTGTTGGATTCTTTTTTAAAAAAAATTAGTCAAATGTACAAGCAGAGATAAATGATTTGCAACAAAAAAAGATGAAAAGTATCTTCTGTACACTGAAACAGAAAATGATTGCTAATTTTGCAGAATAACCTAGGTACATTTTTTGGCTGCTGACATACACAATATTTAGTAAGTTACTGCCCCTGATATGACATTGGAATATTGCGCGAGGTATATTAAAATCACTATAGCATACCACGTATTAAAAACACCTAATACATTGCATAAAGTTACCCATTGGGGCCCTCCCTGATGATGCAATGGGTTAAAGCACAGCACTACCAAGCTGTCCAGCCCTCTCAGCATGAGTTTGATCCCCAGCCAGGGAGGTGACCAGGGATCATGGTGCAGCAGACCTCTCCTGTCTTGCTGGCTGCTCCCCACATCTCTGGTGAATCCTCTCACTGGCGCTGCACCTCTGGCCTTTACCCCAGTTCTGTTTGCATAAATAAATATATTTTTAAAGCTATTTATTCTGAGTTTCCATTGTCAGAGTTCTCTTTGCTTTCTAAACTACTTTTCAACTATAAGCCCTCACTAAGGACTTCTGTTTAGGTAGGCAGATATATGGATATAGAGATATAGGTACATAGAAGGTCAATATAAATACAGTAGGAAATATGTAGGTAGATAAATATATACATAGATGCTACCCAATCTAAAGTTCCCTGTTATGGAGCAGTAGTCTTTTCCTCTCATTTCAAGGGGGAAAAAAAAAAAAACTATTTTCAAAATATCTGCTTTAGTCTCAGAATAGAAACTCAATATCCTTTCACTTACCTCTCATGATGGTTTTTATTTTGGAGGCCAAGGGTAAACCTTACCCTAAAAGATATTTCTTACAAATGTGCAAAGAAATAAATGCAGGAAAGTAATGATCATGTGACATTTCTTACACAATGAGTACAAAATGTCAGTGGTGCATGCTGTAGTTTTTAGTAACATTTCCAATTTTAAAGAAGCAATCATAATAAAATAGCTTGTTTTATCTTAGCCAAATGACTAAGATCCATAGAATTAAACATACATCCATTAAACATTAATGCATATTATCTTCTGTACCTTGCTCATAATTAATCTTGTTTTTTCCTTAATTTTTACTAAAATATTATTAAACAACTTTTCATTTACAAGTAAATACTGAGCCAAAATAAGCAGCATTAATAGAACACATTGATGTCCAATGGAAATAAAAACATAAAATAGCTTTTAGAACTAGAGATTTTACCTTAATTTTTTTCTCAGTGTCATCTATTTTTAACTCTGCTGAAACTAGTTTCTTTGCCAAATCATCTCGTTCAGGTAAGTGTCTAGCTTCAGAGATCTTTTTCAGTTTCTGTAAGGAAAGTTTTGTCCTAAATAGTTCACCTTCTGTATCTTTCACCTTTTTCTCAGTTGCCCGTTCTTTCTCTTGAGATTTTCTTAAACGTTCTTTGAGTGCTGTAATCTCATTGTTATGACGAGCAATAAGTTGTGAGATTTCATTTTCTGCGTCTTCAAACTTATTCAGGGCCTTCTCCTGTCTGTACTGAAGCCTTTTCAAAGCCTTGTTTTCTTTCAGCAGCTCAGCTAACTTGACCTGGAGTTCAGTTACCTCATTCTGCAATTCAGTGATTTTTAGCAGTCTTGCAGAAAGAACACGCTTTGTGACAAGATCTGAATCTTTCTGAATTGGCTCCCTATTGAGGCTATGAGAGCGAAATCCCACTCGGACTCCCTTTCTGTTTGGTGGGCCCTTAGGGCTTGGCTTCCTAGGGGCTGGAAAAGAAACAGTAATGATGTGAAGTGAAAGCTGTATCAAATAAAGTATTTACTTATCCTAACACAAGCAGAGCTATACTATTTTTTTTAGCAATTTCTTTCCTTAGAGAATTTTACAAAATTTTGGTAAATATTCTATTTTGAGATCTTAATAGGATGCTTCCATTAAGAGTGGTTTAGGATCTTTTTAGAAAGGTCAAGAATATTCTAATTCCTCAAAAATGTTTTTGTTATATTTATATATAACAATAGTTTGTTGATGATTTGCTATAAAAGAGGGCAGTATGGTATGACCATTTTTAACATTACAGATAATATTTGAAGCCAGAATTCAAACATGGTTATCATTAGAATTTGCAAGGTACCTAATAAACATGTTTCACATGGGGTGAAACATTGTGGTATTCAGTTCTTTTGTACCAAAATGTTTGGGTTATTTGAAATGTGGAAATGTTTTCTCTGAAATTATAGCTCTTTATTTGCAAATTAGATGACAAAATATTGCTCAATGTGAAGATTTGGGTTTGGCATTCATATAAAAATCACATTAGTAATACAGATGTAATTCTAAATACTTTGTTGTATGATGTTCAAATTAAAAACATCTGGCATAATTTGAAAACAAAATAAAAAAAAATCCAAGAAAGCATAAGCATATGACATCTTTAAATTATACAAATTAAATTACACTTTACAAAAATTTACAATATTGTTTTACTGAAAGTTCATTAAAGTAAAACCTCCACATACAAAGGGCCTGCCCTTTCAAAGAGGCATCTGGAAGTCTGCCACAGTTGAGAAGAACGAACTCTGTCTTCAAGGTGACTGCATTTTTTCCCCCAAAAAGGAAATGCACACCAGAGTGAAGAAACACTAGAAAATACAACATGTCCTTATCCAACTAATCATGGATATCCTGATAGCATATATAACAATATTTTCAATTTAACATAAAATTTCACTGAAAAGATAGAAGACTATAGAAGTTGTCTTGAGTTTGTACTGACTTAGGATGCCAGCTCTATAAATGCTTGAAAGCAAGAAAGGAAGTGATGATAAAAAGAAATGAGAGCATACCTACTTGCAATTTTGAAATTACACTATCCAAAATAGTAGTCGCTAGCCATATGTAGCTACTGAGAAATGTGGAATACAGATAGATAATCCAAATTGAGATATGCCATAAGTGTGAAGATACTAGATTTTGAACATTTAGTTTGAAAAAATGGCATGTAGAATATTTCACACACGCTATTCTATATTCTACATTTAGAAATGCCAACATTTTGATGCTGAGTTAAATATATTGTTAAAATTTTAATAATCATGAATAACTTTGATTACTAAATTAGTAACCCTTGGTTACTAAATATAAAATTACATGCAGTTTACATTTGTGACATGCATTGTATTTCCACTGAACAACATTGCTCCAACTTTAAAATATAGGATCCATCATTTTTATTTTCTTTGTTAAACAACATACTGAGTTAACAAAACACTGGTATCAACATGCTGTCATAGAATATGTAGTGAGTCTTAGAATGACAAACTTTATAGATTAAAAATGGTTATGTATAAATTCAGCTAGGGAGGGGAAACCAAATCCTGGGAAAAGGCTGCAGCTCAGAACCAGAGACCTGAGGATAGCCGCAGACCTGTTGCTGACCTTTGTCCCAGCAGCCCCGACAAAGCCCTGGATATAAACTGAGACAACACAGCTAGGTGAGTGGATCCCAAGCT